TTCTGCATGTGAGCGGGGTAAGGATTCCAAAGATCTAGCTTTTCAGCAAATTTTGAAGATGTGATGCCCACGCTGTCATCACCAGTCTACAAATGATGTCTTGAGAAGTTATTTATTGTAGAAAAAAAGAACGTTAGTCAAAGAGTGCAAATTTGCCATCTACTGCTGGGCACCAGTGGCTCAGGCCTATCATCCTAGATACTTGGGAGACTGAGATCCAAGGATCCCATAGCCAGGCCAGCCCAGGCGGGAAAATTTGTAACACGGTGCTCAAGTGCCTGATGGGAAGATATGGCTCAAGTGTTAGCCACTACATTCAACTCCTGTGGATCCATCTCAAGACCCAGCACAAGGCTAACCACTATAAAAGTGTACATGGCATATTAAACAAATGAACAGTATGTGCAAGCCTTTGCCACCATGTGTACTTCCTGGCAATGTAATATAGAATAGTTCATAAAAGTTAGATATTAACAAATTATAAAATGTTCTTTGTTCGGACCATAGGAAACACTGGACCCTATTATTGTGAGCCTAAACAGGTTTGCAGATTGTCAGATAAAGTGCAAGGCTCTCTGTCAAATTTGACTTTCAGAAAAATACAGATAAGATTGTGTGTAGCAAATATTGCATGATTTATATTTTCCAAACAGAACTGTGTATTAGAAATAAATTTAGATTAAGTACAGAACATGCTGTATTTTTTTGTCGGTTGTGGGGCCTGACCTCTGGGCCTGAGTGCTGTCCCTCAGCTCTTCAGCTCAAAGCTAACACTCTACCTCTCGAGCCACAGTGCCACTTCCATCCTTTTCTGCTTATGTGGTGCTGAGGAATCGAACCAAGGGCCTCATGCATGCAAGGCAAGCACTGTACCACTGAGCCACCTTCCCAGCCCAAGAACACCATGTATTTTTGTATTCTACACCTGGCCACCTTCATTCCACCTTTATGCCTCAAACCTAATTTGCTTTTATGCTCTGATGGTTGGACTTCTAGAAGATTATCAAACTATACTGCTCACTTTCTTAACTATTTTTTGTTAAAACAAAGAACACAGAAACCAGGCTCTCCTTGCCTCTTTAAAGAGAAGAAATTGCCAAGTATAGGTAATTCCAGACTAATGCAGAGAACAGCACTGTCTCCAGGGCTCAGTGAAGCCCATGATGCTGAATTCTGCTAAGAGAAGAAGAAAAATTTCTGAAAGAATAGGGTTTCAGCCGTTTTCTAATGGCATAGCCAGATGATGCCACAGAACTTGGCATGGCTGAAAAGTACACACTGTGCTGGAGATCAATCGTTTCTGAAGGGGATCCTGAAGGGAACTTTCCATGATTGAGGTTAGAAATAACAGCGCCACACTCCTATAAATTCCTGGAGTTCAGGGAGCTCTATGTCCTGGAGAAAGCGGGGCCTCTATGCAGCTTCAGAAACTGCTGAGCTGGAATGATTGCTTTAAAAAGTATTAAAGGTTTCTCCGTTCTTAAAACTGCATTTTACCGTTTTCAAATGCCAGGGATTAAGTCAGGAAAGTTAAGTTTAAGTACAGATGTGCCTCTACTCCCAGAAAGTTTTCTCGGGAAAACAAAACAAAACAATATGCTTGGATAAGCAGATAAGATCATGGAAGTGGTTACCTACATAAAGTAATAAGTCTCAGTGTAACACTCCATTAAGTATTAGACTCTTAGTTCAAAAATAATTGTTCCCTGGCAAAGAAATCTTAAACAACTTTTTATTATCCTTCCTCCCTTCCTTTTTTCCTTCCTTCCTTCCTTCCTTCCTTCCTTCCTTCCTTCCTTCCTTCCTTTCTTCCATTCTTTCTGTCTCTCAATGTCTGTCTTTGTGATGGTAGCAGTGTTTGAACCCAGTGCCTTACACAAGTACTCTACCACTTGAGTTATGCCTCAATCCCTTAAATAACCCTTTTTGTGTTTTTTTGTCTTGTTAGGTTTTTTTATTTTGGTTTGTTTTTTTGTTTTTGGTTTTGTTTTTTTGTTCAAGTCCTAGGGCTTGAACTCTGGGCCTGGGTACTGTCCCTTAGCTCTTTTCCTCAAGGCTAGCACTCTACCACTTGAGCCACAGCACCACTTCTGGCTTTTTCTGGATAATTTATTGAAGATAAGAGTCTCCTGGACTTTCCTGCTCAGACTGGCTTCAAACCTTCAAACTGTGATCCTCAGATCTCAGCCTCTTGAATAGCTAGGATGAGAGGTGTGAGCCACCAGCACTCTGCTTTAAATAATGTTGGAGCATTAATTTCTCCGACAGTTGTTTTTTTTTCAGGAAGCCACTACTTATATAATTCAGTCTTCTTTAACTCTTTCCCCCTAAAACATGTAGGTATAGCTCCTGGAAAGAAACACATTTTGGTTCACCCTTCAGCAATGATACTCACTAGATACTATGTTGTACAACTTGGGGTGGGGAGGAGAAGGTGCAGTTCAGGAGGGGCAAAAAATGAGGGATGGGGTGAGTGTTCAAAAAGAAATGTACTCATTATCTGCCTGTAACCCCTCTGTACATAAGCTTTACAATGGAATTATTATTATTATTATTATTATTGTCAGTTGTAGGGCTTGAACTCTGGGCTTGGGCACTGTCCCTCAGGTCTTCAGCTCAAGGTCAGCACTCTATGGCTTGAGCCACAGCGCCACTTCCGGTTCTCTAGTGGTTTACTGGACAGAAGAGACTCACAGCCTGGCTTTGAACCTTGATCCTCAGATCTCAGCTTCCTGAGTAGCTAGGATGACAGACGTGAGCCACCGGCACCCTGCACAATGAAATTTTCTTAAAAGACAACATTTTCCTTCTCCTCCTTCATGTGATCTCTTGATCATTTAAATATGAGCCTACTAAAAATAAAATTTGCTGTTAGTTCGACAATGGATTCCTTCTCTAGAATTAGCCACTTCACCTTCACTTTCAGTACATTTTTATTTGAGAATAGTTTTAGATTGGCAGAAAAGTTGTGATGATCATCTACGTCCACGTTCCTTCCATACTCCATGCAAAGACTTCCATTGTTGACATCTTACATTCATATGGTACATTCATCACCATTCACGACCCCGTCTCAAAACATTACTATCTCCATGAGTTCTACTTCATATCCTCCTGCGATCCAGACCCTCATCCAGGATGTCACATTATGTTTAGCTCCTTGTCTCCGTGGACCTCTCTTAGCTAGGACAGATTTCCACCTTTCCCTGCCATGATCACTGGAGGAATAGTGACTAGGCTGGTAAGTTACAGTGTACGCTCATCTTGGTCATCTGGCTCCGGTAGGGTTTCTCAGATTTGCCCTCCGGACCACTCCTCTTTCCTCCCCTCTCAAGCTCTCTGGAAGGAAGTCACTATGCATAACCTTAGGACATGTGGTTTAATCTTTACCTCCTTGGGAGGGTGGTAGCTACATAGATTATTTGGGATTTTGTGGGAGAAACTTGTCTCCTCCCCTCGCCTGATTATTCATTCAGCTGTTTATTTCTATCAATGTGGATAATAGATATTTTACACTATTGGATTATCAGCCAATACCAGTGATTGATTTTGTTGCTCAAGTTGTTCTAGATTTCCCCAATGGGGATCTTTCTGTTACGTCCTGTGTCTTTTTGGAAAGCCGTTTCCTCAGCATTGTGGTCTTTGATATTTATTTTTGGAGGTCATCTAAAGCCACTACAGATGATTCAAGTATTTCTTGCATAGTTCTGAGCTCTAGATTTAGATTCGTCCACTTCTCCAGGAACCTGTAGCTCCTGGTGTGGACATATGGCATTAGAAACAAAGATACAAGTCCTACTGGGGGGAAGTGTCACTGTACTCTTAAACCACTTCTCTTGCCTGGATATGTTTAGTTGACTAAGTGAAATTCATATCATTGATTCCAAACTTAGTTTTTAGGGAGGAATCAATTTCACTTCAGAAGTATCTGATAGCTTTCAACAGTTCCTCTACTTTAAGACCGTGATTCTATCTTCCTTCATTTCTGCCTTTTGAAACTTAATTGTGTTTTTTCTTATTAAAGGAACTGCATGTTTAAGGAATGAGGCTCCCTAGGGAGAGGTGGATCACTTTGCTCTGCTGTGTTCATCTCAGCCTGGTAATTCACCTAGAAATGGCAGGGCAGGTCTAAGGGCAGGAGGGGTTGTTTAAAAAGAATTGTGTGAGGATCAAAGAAATATGAGGGACTGAATGGAAATGTCACAACGAAGGATCAAGAGAAAGGACACACAAATACCATTATCAAACCAACCACTTCCTTTACTTTTATGGTGTATGTGTGAGGGAAGCTGGCTTTTCATACCAGGAGTGGCTCCTTTGATTGAGGCCATGTAGAGTATGCCTCTATCCAACATGAAGGCTTGGAGTGGTTCTGAAAACCACAAGCATATCCTCTGCTGGTACAGGCTTAGCTAATCTTCATGCTACTAGTGTTGAGAAAGCATACTCAATTAGAGAAAGAAAAAATGTAATTAATAGATTATGTCTACCTTTTGGCACTTTGGAGAGATTGTATTGCTAGATATAAAGGTGACATCTTAGTTCAAGTGGGAGTGTGCACCCACACACTTACCTTTTGTCTTCGTTCTTCCTCTTTCCTCTTCTGATTCCTGACTACTACTAATGCATATTCCTCACATAAATTCAACTCTACTGAACAACCAGACAAGAGCTTCAAACAAATGGTGCACGTAGTAACACCGGCAATAGAGTCACTGCCCTTGGATTACTAAAACCCCACATCCACTCAGAGCTACCGAATGCAATGGTCTGTGGGTGATGGCCAACAGCCATCTTCCGGTCACTTACCCTGCGGTGGTCACAGCAGACATAGATCATTACACACATGAGCTAGAATCTTCCAGAGCTGAGTGGGTCAAAGATGCACTGGCTGTGAGCAGGACATGTTGGTGTTCCCAGGGTTGCTGAAACCGCGGCTATCTGGGAGTCACAAGAGATGGTTGCTAGCCAACACAGACACCAAAGGGAGCAGACACCCATCAATAGAAAAAAATAACTTCTTTTTATTTACAAAACAAAAAAAAAATCCAAATATTGGATTCTGTAAACAAAATTCACAATCTGTTCCCTCTAGCACTGATTCAAACATGTCAGTTTTCTTTTAAGAGTCCATTTTCCATCCATTCTATTTCTGCCTGTGGCACACCACAGTCAGATTCCAAGACAGTGAGCCCAGGTGCAGCCTGCTGTAGTTAGGACTCGGACTCTGAGCAGGTGTGGCTGTGGAGAGGTGGGAGGAAAAACAGCCAGCAGGACACAGTTCCCTCCGGTCCAGTCCAAAAACACATGCACCAAGTCTCTCCAAGGGACTCCAACATCTTCCCGCTTTGTGCTTTTACCACTTACTTCCTTAGCAAGCCATTATAATAACAAAAGATTAACATAGAGATTGTCTCATAGCACTGAAAGGCTATGCTCAAAAGAAATCTGAAAGAAAGATTATATTCAAACAGGTGCTATATATGAAATCACTTTTTTTTTGGCTTTTTGGTTTCATCTAACATGTTTGTTTTCAACAACAATAACAAAAAAAGCTTATTTTTGACAGCTGTTGACAGCTTTCAACATAACACGTTTCATTTACAAAAGAGTTCACAATATTTATTTAACAGCCTTGCACTGAAAACAACTTTATGCACAATAAAAAGAACCAACAATAAGCAAAACAGAAAGGGGTGGTAAAAACTGAACGTTCACTTTTCACTTTGTTTCCTTCTTAGCTTGGATTACAGATATCCTGCTATCCTTGCATTTTTGTTTTGGACCCACACAAACAATAGTCCATCCAATATCTCAAACCAAGCAGGTATTTGATCCCATTTCTGGAAGGGAAAAGTCCGTTTGGGTGTTAAAAGAGTTCTTGAGGCAGTTGGAAATTACTACTGATGAAGTAAACTTTTTTTAGAGGGCACTGCCACAGGCTAAAGGTTCTCTGACATGCCAGACTGGGCAGGTGAGAAATGCGTCCAGAAGACAAAACTTCTTCCTGTTTTGAAGTAACAGCACACTAGGGCAGATAAACACGGAAGCAAACAAAATCACAGGCACTAATCAGGAGTTGAGAGCTGTTGTGGTTTCTTTTTCCTGACCTATACACATGGCTCTCTCTCTCTCTCTCTCTCACTAGACATTCAAATTTTTAGGCCATACATCCACAAAGATACAGATATATCTCCCACTGTGTTCAACTACATATGCACAAGACTATAGTACATACAAAATAGAAATAAATTATATTAAGTCTTTAAGTGCATATAGAAAATTGTCTCCTGGAAAGCCTGTTCTATCTGAATGCTAGGTGTATGGCACTTCCAACTAAGCTAACAACCCTGAAGTCAGCAAGAAAGAATATAAATATTGGAGAATATAAATGAAAAGTCCTATTTGCAAATAAGGCTCCTTCCACCAGAGGGAAACAAAACCTGTCATAAATGAACGGTAGAGCCTGAGATCTCTAGACTCCTCACAATAGTACAAATCATCTGTCCATACTGAGGGTGGGAAGGAAAGCAGGTGCGCAGCCGAAGTTCCTCTGATCATCGGCATTCCTTAGTTTTCTCTTAGAAAACTTCCCAATAGCTAAGAAGGTGGCGCTGTGGTTTCTGACAGGATCAATCTGTGAGCTGAATAGTTTCCTAGGGATTTTGTGATTACGTTTTTCAAACTCAGGAGACTGAGTGAGGGAGACTGAGCCAACTTAAGAGTAGGAAGGGCTCCCCCACCAAAAAACGTGAGTGGCAGTGGAGGTGGCTGTGATAGACCAGAGGGAATTCACAGGGAAGCTGCTACAGCAAACTCAGCAGCTTCCGGTTAAGGCTTCAGAGATGCACAAAAGGCAGTTCAGATAGATTACTCAGGGTAACCAACACTGAAGAGCAGAGGGATGCACAGATGACAAAGAAAGAAACCCATCATCCTGCCAAAGCAAGGATGCCATTTCCTTCCCTGGTGCCTCTTGGTTTGATGGCAAGAATCTTCTGGGTGGGCCTTCAAAAGAATGAATAATAAGCAATGCTCTACTAGGGTTGGTGGGGATCCTATGGTTGCTTCGTGACATGAAGGGGACGTTTTGGTGAGTGTTCGTTTCTTTTAATGAACATTATTTTCAGAGACCAGTATTCTAGAGGGCTGAGAGAAGAGCTGGAACTGAAAAAAGTGCTGCTATCAGCTCATTTAGCAAAGATATTTATGGTCTTTTGCCAAAGGGAGAACAAAGTTGGGTTTGGTTTAATGCAAAGTGATTTAATTTAAAGTACAGTACTAAATACTTAAATGCAGTGTGACATCCCAATCAAAGATGTTTCATATTGGCATAAATTTATAAAACATCATATATAATATATATCTCATAATATAAACTTTATGCAATTGTGCAAATACTCTTTAAAAAGGGTCATTTCACATTTACTAAATTCTAGTGGTCCAGAAATGCAGAATGCATTCATTTATAAATTCATTTAAATACTAATAAGTAGTGTTCAGATCACCAGAAATTCTTGTTAGCAGTCAGGGATTTAAGTAGCCTATCATCTCCACGCTCCATGAATTGCATACCTTGGAGTATGCAATTATTCTCCTCTAATGGTTTCAAGCTGTCAAAATGCTATCAATATAAGAGTGCTCTACCAAACAAATATTCAATATGGAATTCTCTGGCTCACAGAAAAAAAAAAGACAAAAAAAACTCACTAAAAATTATAATCTCTTCTTTTCCTATAAATATATTATTTGTTTCCCTCCTTCATTTTTTTTAGATGTGGGTTCTAATTCATCATTGCAATATGCCCTCTCATGTCATCCTACTGCAAACATTAAAGCACACAGTATTTTAAACATTTCCTACTTGACATATTGTTTTAGGTCATAGCCAAGGTAGTATGTGTACATATATATACATTATCATCTGTACATATGCATACACACACACAATACACACACGTACCTAGGACAACATCACACTGACAATATCAACTTTATACACATATTTGCCAAAAGAAAAAGTAGGGCATTTCCTCCACCATTCACAAGCTTCTATGTTGTTTTATTTTCTTCTTGATTCCCTGATAAAATAATCATTAAACCATAAAATAATTTTCCACTTCAAATTTTCAGAAAGCAACAGGCACTTTGATGTATACTGGTGTGTAACAAATATAGTGACTCTTTCATATATATGTATGTATGTATATACATATACATACATATATATATATCCTATGTCTCTTGTACTTGGGAATTTTTATCTGTGAAATCTTTGGTCCTTGAGCATATTTTCTTTGCTACAGCTGCTTCTGCTGGCATTTCCACATTTTAAAAATGCGAGCTATGCATGCAGCTGGAAAGAATGCATCGTGTCATCCTCAATTCTTCCGTTCGTTACAAGAAGGGCACCAACCTGCATTCCTGCTCATCCGATTCCAGGCCGAGTGAGAACCACTCCACGGAGAGCACTTGCTAGCAAGTCTCAGAGAGTAATCCCAGTCTTGGAGTTCTTCTTCTTCCTAGACTGTGACTACGTGAACTCCTGAACTGGTACTCACAAGGTGCAGAGAGACCTTTCCTCACTCCCTCTAGTCTTCCCTTTGTGAATTCCATCTTGAAAAGTTTCTCTACCAGTCCCCCTCCCCCACACACACACTTTGGCAAAGCTATGGGAAGCGATTGCTACAAACCCATATTGTCATCGACCATTTCCTCCCCTTGTTATCTTGGGAAAACCTGGTTGCTTTTAATGTCAGGTCTTCCTTGGTTTCAAGTTAGAATCCAATTGGGGATGGGGATGGGGGGTTGGGGGGGGGGAATGATTGGTTTGGCATCATGCTCTCATACTAATGAAGAGATCCCGAAGTTCTGCCTAGCTTAAAATCAGGAGCATATCACTGTACAAAAGCACATCCCTAATTAGGGAAGTCACCCCGCTAATTTTTTTTCCTTCTTTCCCCCCCCCATTCTTGTCTGCAATAGCTTCCCCATCGGGTATATTTTTAACTGATTCTTAATTACAGGGTAGCCATGTAGAGTAGGTCTGCTGCTGGCATGTGAATACTGGCTGAACCTGGGCGATGTAGTAATTGCTAAAGTTAGCATCTGCTACATAGGGGGCTGGCTGGTAATAGCAAGTGACATTGGCCACATTGGGGATGACATTCTGATCAGCAAGCACCCGGATGGCCAGCATGGTGATGAGGTTTAAAGTCTGTCTTCTCTCATGTCCCATCAGACACACGGTACTCTCATTCACCACTCCGTGAAGGGTCATCAAATACTCGTACTTGCGGTCTTCCAACCCCACGAAGTGATTCTGCAGATAGGATTCCAGTTTCCTCTGCTGCTCCCCAATGTCTGAGAAGTCAATGAAGAACCTGGAACACATGTACCTTTGCAGGGTCTTGATCTCCTCTGATGCCGGCCGGAAGCCCCTCACCAGCAGGTTGCAGTACTTAAGCAGGCCGCCCCCTCGGATCTCTTCCGGGTTTCTGGTGGCAATGATTTTGTTACAAAGGTGATCAAAAGCTTCCTGGAAATCGCCATAGACACTCTCCCCGATAATGGTGGGGTGGAACGTTTCAGTCATGGGGTTCTCTGAGCATTCGTAAAAGAGGAGAAGAGAGTCTAACTTGATTTGAAAAGAATCTACACTGAATTCAAACTGCCTCCGCAGGGAATCCACAAATTTCAGTTCCACGTTTTTGCCACTGTTGTTGGACAGGGAGATGAGACTCCACCGGTCAGAGTCATTGCACACTTTAACCATTTTCTGCACATAAGCCTCCTACAATTGAAGAGATAAAACAAGAAGATGAGCAAACCCAGAAAAAAGAAACCCTTCCTCTCCCCAGCTGAGAATTATTCTGCCTTTCCTTTTGGTTTTGTCAAGTTTTGGCAAAACACTACCTAGCAAGCAGCTTCGACAGTCTTCCGAAAACAGAAGGGGGAAAAAATACATTTAACGAGTAGTTTTACCGTCTGGGAAAGAGACTGGAAGTAATAGTTTGAGGCTTTTGGCAGACCTGGCAGAGTACTAAGAGGTTCTGTTGTCATGTCTGACTTTTTAAATGTTATTTTTTTAAACTGGTCTAATAGGCATAATGTCCACACTGCAATCCACACACTATTCAAGACACCGAGGGGCAGATGGTGATAAATGACTCTACCCCTCACCTCATCCCCGGTCACCCGCGTCCCCTCCCGTGGAGAAACCAGCCTTGTCTGGTGACTCTCTGGAGGACACAGCAAAGGTCCAAGGGGAACTACACTGTTTCCAGACAACACCACGTTAGATAATCAGATAAAACTCGACTTCAACCGAATGGTGAGTGTGTGTATCGAGCGGAGCCCCCCCCCCCTCCAAATGAACCCATGCAGATGATAACCACCACCGACATAAACCCTTCCACACACCACCGAGTCAGCTGAACCCGGTGGCGAAATGGATTCACATTTTCCAATACAATAAAAATCCCATGGACTCAGTTCTGCTTCAGGCTGCGATTTTCCCAAAGAGTAGCTCATAAAATGCCTGGGGGGGGGGGGAGGGGGAGAGGAGAGGAGGGGAGAGGAGGGGAAGGGAGGGGGGGAGAAAGGAGAGGAGGGGAGGGGAGAGGTGGGGATGGGGAAGAAAGCAGAGGGGAGAGGAGGGGTGAGGAGGGGAGAAGAGAGGACTGGAGGGGAGAGGAGAGAAGAGAAAGGAGAGGAGGGGAAAGGAGAAGAGAAGGAAAGAGCCATTTCATTCCTCCCCTGACCAGTCTCCTCTGGGCACCACTCCAGCTAGGAAAGCCAAGGGTTAAAACCATGAAGGAAAAGGAACCAAAAAGGCAGGCAAAGGAGGAAGCAAGCAGAGCTGCTGCGCACTGAGCTCCCAGAAAAACTAAGCCACTGGCCACCTCCTCCACGCACCTTCAAAGTTCACGCAGGAAGAAAGTAAGACATGAATCACGAGAGTAGCAGGAATCACAATTCACGGTGATAGTAAAGATCAAAGAGCGGGGCCGGCGCGTGGCGACCTCTGCTGCGCCCCCCCCACCCCGTATTCCCCCCCCCCCCCAACCCCGCGCGCCCCGCACCTTGAGCGTGAGCGGCGTGATCTTCTCCTTGTTCACGCCCTCGGGCAGGAAGTCCAGCAGGCAGTCGAGCACCGCGTCCTTCACCGTCTGGAACTCCTCCTCGCCGCGCAGGTCGGCGCAGAAGATGAGGTCCAGGTCCTTGTAGCCCAGGCCGCTGTCCTGGTGCAGGACGTGGCTGGCGGCCGAGCCGTTGAGCCGCACGTCGCGCACCCCGATGCGCCGGTCGGCCAGGCGCCGCCGCACCACCTTCACGATCAGGCTGGGCTGCAGCTCGAGCGTGGGGAAGTTGCCGCGCCCGTGGATCGGGATGGTCTCGCTCAGGATGCCGTCGAGCCGCCGCACCTGCTCCCAGCTCAGCACGGTGCAGTGCGCGCGGGGGTCGCCGTCCGGGCCCGCGGGGGGGGCGTACGCGCCGCCGGCCAACCCGGCCTCCGCCATGGCGAAGAAGCCCGCGCCGTCCGCCGCCAACGGCCCGCCGAGCGCCGCGGGGCCCTGCTCGGTCCTGGGGAGCCGGGACGGAGGGGGGAGGAGGAGGTGAGCGGCGTGGGGACCCCGGGGTGCCGACCGCGCCCCCCCTCCCCGATCACCCCCCTGTCCCAGAGGCCCCCTCCCCCCACCCCACCGGACCCCGCCGATGGCCCCCCTCCCCCGCCCACCCCGCAGACAGCGGCCCCGCACCAGAAGTAGCGCTGATGCATCTGGAAAGCGCAAGCCAGTCCCGTCCGGGTCACCTGGAGGCGGCCGCCCCTTCCAGGAGCGAGGCGGGCGGGCAGGCGGGCAAGGCTCTGCGCGGCGGCGACGCTGCCCCTCCGGGAGAGACCAGCGCGGCCCCGCCGTGCGGGACGCCGCGGTGCGGGGAATCCCCCGTGCCCCGCACGGACCACCCGGACCCCGGCCTGCGCACCGCCCCCGCCCGCGCGCCGGCCGTCCCAGCCGCGCTGGTTCCGGAGCTGGCGGCTTCTGCTCCCGCCGCCGCCGCACACGCTCCGGTCTCAGGAGCTTTAGCAGTTGTGCGGGGAAATCGTCCCCGGTACTTTTTTTATACCGGGCTTCTGCGCGCTTCCGGGGCCCCGGCGCCGCGCGCTCACCACGCCCTCCTCATTTGCATAGGCTCCGCCCCCTCCCCGCGGGAGGACAGGGCTCCGGAACTGCGCTCGGCGCGCGCGGGGACGGCCGGTGCGGGGCCGCCGGATGCGAGTGCGCGCGCGCACGCGCTCGTGTGTGTGTGTGCGTGTGTGTGTACTCAACTTTGTGTGCACTCTGGCTGCGTGTGCGGGTCTGTGCGTTCCCCCTCGTGGGTCTAGATTTCATTTATGTGCGGCGCTTTGCACGCGCGTGTGGATACGTGAGCACACGATCGTGCGGACATATTTTATGTGCGGGGGCCGCTGGCCGCGTGTGCGCGTGAATACGTGCGCACACGGTTGTGTTTACTCGTTATTCACGTGCGCCCTGACCCGGACCCCTGGGCAGTAACACTCCACGCGTCCCCTCCGCCCCCGGTGGCCGTTCACTCGGGCTCACAACTGAAATCCGACAGCTGCAGAAACTTGTGGAGCTTGATCCTCCGGGCCCGGCGTCCCGACTCCGAGGGCGGGGGCTCCAGGCGCCTCCTCGCCCCCTTCACCCGCGGGGCCGGGCCCTAGCTGGCCTGGACCGCTGGCTCTTAATGAGCCGGGGTTCGGGGTAGGCGGGGAGAGGAGGCTTCAGCCCGAGTCCCCGCAGACGAGGCTCGGGCGGCCGACAGAAGGGCGGGAGACTGGAGTTTCGATTCTCCATCAGGAAGCGCTGGGAAAGGCGGGGCGCGCGGGAGACGGAAGCGCGCGGAGATGTGGGGTGGGCGCGCTCGCGCGGAGACTGGAGGCGCGCGGGAGACGGGGGACGGAGGGGGGGCATGGAGATGTGGGGTGGGCGCGAGGAGCCCAGGGGCGCGCGAGGGGACGCGTGGCCGGCTGCGCGGACCTTCGGCCGCTGGGCGCGGGCGTCTCGGAGCTGCGGGGAACGCGGGGCTCGGCGCGCGTGACCGGGCGGGCGGCCAATCGCCGCGGCCCGAGCGGCCTCCGGGCGCGCGGCTGCGGAGTGGAGGGGTCTGTGCCCGGCTGGGGGCGCGGCGCGCGGCCCGGGAACGGACGTGCGGGGTGCGCAGCGCGTCCTGCGCCGCCGCCGAGGTTTGCCCGGTCAGGTGGACACGCACGTCGGGGCCCCGGCTTCAGGCCCCTAGGAGCCTGAAGGTCCCAGCGGAACAGAGGGCTTCCGCCGATGCGGAGCCCGGGCCCCGCGCGTCCGGGGTCGAGCTTGCTCCGAAGCTCCGCGTGACCCCCTCCATCCATGGACTCCCGGTGTTCGCTGTCTTTGAGAACGCGGGCGTCTCAGCTGGCGCGCCCCGCAGCCGCTGCGGGGCTTCCGGGCGGGGTGCCGACCCGGCCGACCCACTCCCACCTGGGGCCCTGGATGTCCAGCTGCGGAGCCAAGCACCGCTGGCAAGCCCCGGAACCGCAGCCCCAAGAGACCCGCCTGAGGGGGTGGGGTGAGGGTGTCACCCGTGCGGAGCCCAGCTGCGTGACAACGGCGCCCCCTGCCGGTGCCCCGGCGGTGTCCCCAAGAGGAGCCGCCCCTCCCCCACACAGCCAGGCCTGGGCCGCCCCCTCCCCCCCCAACACCGTCCCTAGTGGGGAGGGCGTGTAGTAGACCACGGGACACCGCCGACCCGGTCACGTGACACCATGGCCTCCTACCAGGAACTTCTGTAAATCCCCTGTCCAGCCCTCACCCTCACGTGATCGCATCCTGACCAGGCTTTTCAAGTACTTGCACATAGAAGTATTGGAACCTATGTCTATCAGCAGAGAGCTATGTATAAAGATCTGCAGAGTATATATATATATATATATATATATATATATATAATATCTATAATGTACTCTATATACATATGTGTATATATGTACAAAGATGTTTGTATACTATGTAGACACATGCATATATGTCTAAAGTATATATGTAGTATGGATAGGAAGTTGGGTGTATATAGGGAGGGGGTATGTGCATCTGTTTACCTCTTTTATGGGTCAGGCACCAAGACGAATGGTGAGAATTTAAGAATGACTCCATTTCCCCAGTCCAGTGGGATGGCACACCAGGCTGTAATTACTGTTCAGCTGTCTCGGTGGAGAGGGGGGGCTGGGGAGGGTGGAGAACTAGCAGAAATCCAGAAGAGAAGTGTCCTTTTGATTGGATCTTGCAAAAGCGTTTCTTCAGCTAGGAAGGATAGACTTGCCCACACAAGGAAGAGGATGGAAGGAGGAGGGAAATGTAGACGGTCCTGTAAGAAACGAGGTTGGGCAGAGTGGAGTGGGCAGAGACTTCTCAGGGCTCTGTGCTGCTGAGTTCTAGTTTGTGTTCTTCATGCTCAGCTTTTTTTTTTTCTATTCTTAATCTTTGTTCTCCTCACCCTCCCTCTTATCTCTCCTCTCTTCCTCCTCCTGTTTGCTTCTTCCTCCTTCTCCTCCCCTTCCTTCTCCTCCCTTCTCCTCCTTCCTCTTTTTCTTCCTCTTCTTTTTTCTCCTCCTCCACCCTCTCCTCTCCCTTCCCCCCATTCTTTCATCTATCTCTTCCTCCTTTTTTCCTCCTCTACTTCCTACCTTTCTTCCTCCTTTTCCCCCTCCTTTCACTCCTCCCCCTTCTCCTCTTTCCCCTCCTCTCCCATTCTCTATGTATGTCTGTGTATGCTATGTAGCCTGAGCTGGTCTCAAATTCACAGTGCTCCTGCTTCAGCCTCACAAGTGCTAGGATGACAAGCATGTACCATACACTCAGCCTCTCGTGGGCTCTTCACACACACTTCCGTCTTCTACTAAAAAAGAGGGCATACCATGTTGTAGGAATTGGGAAACAGAGGCACTAGGCAATAGAACTTGAATCCCGCCCATATGACTATGAATGCTGTTTAGGCTTCATCATCATGAATGACATAGGTTTAGTTTAGTAATTCCTTCTTGAAAGACATGATACACACACACACACATTCACAGACACACACACAAAATCCAACAAGAAAGATGGTCCAGGTGCCAGTGGCTCACGCCTGTAATCCTAGCTACTCAGGAGACTGAGAGCTGAGGATCATGGTTCAAAGCCAGCCCAGGCAGTCAAGTAAGTGCGTGAGACTCTTTATCTCCAATAAACTACTCAGAAAATTCTGGAAGAGGCACTGTGGCTCAAGTGGTAAAGCACTAACTTTGAGTACAAAGAGGCCCAGGACTGTCAAAAAAAAAAAAAATGTTGTGAGATATTTCCTTTTAGGCTGACTTGAATTTTGAATCTTCTGAGACTAAGGCTAAAGACTGCAGTTCAAGGTCTGCCCAGGCAAAAAGTGCAACTCCATTTCAGTCCGTAAGCCAGGAGTGATGTCTTGCATTTGCACGGAGCTGGCTGCCTGAGGCCTAGATAGGAGACCATGTTGGTTCTAAGCAGGTCTTAGGCAAGTCCCTGTCTGAACAATAATCTGAAACAAAAAAAAAAACGGCTGGAGGCATGGCTCAAATTCAAACCACAGTCTCACCAAAAATATAACAAACGAAGACACCAGAAGAGTCTCCATGTGGAGTGCCTGTTCCTACCTAGACCCAGTTCCCTGGGGGCTGGAGGAGTCTGCTTTTTATTTACTAAGCTGCCAGGTGTTGTTGACAATACAGCCCAGCCACTATTCGGGCTGCATCAAGGGCCACCAGCCTCCAGCTGTGTCCTCTGGTTAGGAGTCTTGTCCTAGGCCCAGGCCTCCCTTCCCTGCCCAGCTGTTCTTGTGGCCAGTCAGGAATGGAGGGTGTGGCAGAGAAGTGCAAGCAGACCATGACGGGTTGTGGGGGGCCCATTGTGTCCCACCCTGTAGTGGGGACAAGATGGAGTCCCACCCATTGAGGCACAGCGCCCCATTTCCCCCCTGACAGCCTGTTGTGGCTGACACTTCTTCCTCAAGACTTGTAATAAAGCAGCTGGCTGCTGTGGAACATCTGGGCTGGCTTGCTCTTGGCAGTGCCCTGGTAAGCGACGGAATCCTGAGCGGAATTAACAGGTCCCGGATGCATTCATTCACTGTAGCTACTTGTTACATGTTTTGAATGAAAGCATGTGGTGTTCATCGTTCCTCTCCCTGTCTTCACACCGAGATCATGAAGGAAACATCTCCATCTCTCCAGGAAATGGTCACTGTAAGCCTTGCTTCACTATTCTTTTCTAGATAACCAGAATAATCATTGGATGAGAATGCCTACACGTTCCAACACACTGACAGCTAAGGGATTCCTCAGCATAGTTGTTCTTAGATTGAATTTAGACAGTCTTGCCTTCAGGACTGGAACTGGAGGATTGTTTTCAGCTTCAGAATCTATTTGGTAGTAATTTATTTTCCCTAGTAAAGGAAAAATAATAGGAGACCTATGGCAATACAATGCTGATAAAATTACAGTCACCACAAACGTGAAAAATGGACCATCTAAATTTGGGTTTTTGCTCAAGGTTTGATACCACCGCCGAGACCACACCTCCACTTCCAGCCTCTTGCTGGCTAATTGGAGATAAGAGCCTCACAGATTTGTCTACCCAGCTGGCTTCAACTCTCAAGCCTCCTGCTAGGAGGATTAGCTGGGCTTACAGGCATGAGCCACAGGTACCCGGCGTGGACTGCTGTCTGAGGGAGCAGATCTGGTGGTCTGATCATTTTACAGGAAATCCTGAGGAATAAAAATCACCTGTGATTTTAATATGTGTTCATTTGTGATCTTAACATTTGCTGATGATGGGAA